AGAGAGAGAGAGAGGGGGGAGTGAGAGGGAGAGGGAGAGGGAGAGGGAGAGGGAGGGAGAGGGAGGGAGAGAGACAGCGCGCAAACGATTTGACCTCTGGAACTCGAATGGCGAGGCCTTGAAAGCAAGGAAGCAGTTTTTAAAGTCCAATGTCCAACCGAGTTTCCAGATACTCCACTATCTACCCAGATAGGCAACACGCCAATGGCAATTCAAAACTTACCAAACAAATTCAGGTGGACCACAATCGACAGGGTGCCAAATGAAGCCGTCAGCCTATATCTGCCTGATTTGTGGCCACCCGGCACAGGTCATGCCCCGAGGCTGCGATAACTTTCCCTCACGGGCACGCCCGACAATTGAGGCATAATCAGTTAGGTGGAGAGACGTGACTTACGCGTGGGAGGTAGAGGTTCAAACCCCAGTTACGTTGTTTTAGTAGAGGTTTTACGACGTTCGCAACTGCATAAGGTCATATGAGCGCCAGAAGCTTAGAGGTGTTACAAGGGAGTAACAAACATAAAAAATAAGAAGGGGAGATAAGGACGATAGATGTTTGATAGGAAAGAAGAAGCAAACCACACCAGAGCCCCCGCCAACCATCCACTGGCCCGAGTTAGAAGGAAAAAAGGTGCCATCATTCGGGGAAGATAGATCCTCTCTACTGTGGTCAAAGTGAAACCAAGTGCATCGCTTTCCAAACGAGCATCTAACCTGTGTAACCTGTACTGCCATTGTAAACGCCCAAGACAAATTTCTCCTTGCGAGATGAATAAAGATTGTCATTGTCATTGTGATAAACACAAAAGCAAAGACGAGAAAAGAAAAGGAATTTGTTTGTCCATAAACTTGTCTATAGAATAGCATATAGTACATATGGATTTTTTAAAAAGAATATTACGAAAATGACTTTGATTTCAGTGAACTACACAAACTACTTTTAAAACAAAGTATGCAGCCTGTCACGTTTCAGTCATGTATAGGTTGCAATTCCCCAAGCAAAGATTACATTGTCGAATTAGTTCAAAACATGTGCAGAGGATAAAGTTGAGACCGAACAACGCATGTAGCATAAACTTAAAGTAACAGAGTATGATACGCTTCTTCTCCTTCTCAGAAGAGAAAGGTGTTAAATCATAGCTTCTGACCTTGTAAACAACCGTGCTGTGTTGAAAGGAGCATAAATCCCAAACAAACATTACTGCACCAAACAATGAAAAGTAAGGCTGACATGACATAAAGAAACAACAGAGCAAAAGTAAAGAAGAATGATCTACCAGTGGCGCCCTCCAGCCAACCGCGAAGACAATGACCATCAAGTCTGGACTAGACTTTCTTACAGGGAATAGCACTAGGAGGGAGACGAAGAGGCAGACAGAGGAAACGATGAGAAGACATCATCAAGGTGTAGACTGTTCATGACTGGAACATCTTATGCTGTACGACGGAAAGCTGAGAACCGCCAGGAGTGGAAGAAGCTTGTTGCAAAACCTACAATTCCAGATAATGTTTGTTATTCCATTGTTTGTTTTGAGTTGTAAAGAGAAGCACATTGACACAATAATGGTCATTTAGTGCTGGGAAAAAGTAAGACAGAAAAAGTGGAAGAAGCTAGTTGTAAAATCTACAACCCCAGACTATGTTTGTTTATTTGTTTGTTTTATTTGAGTACGGTAGTTAAGAGAAGCACATCGACACAATAATGGCCATTTGGTGCTGAGAAAAAGAAAGAAAGACAGGAAGACAGAAACGACAGATGAAAAGGGAAGAGGTAGGACCTACCAGTGGCACCCTCCAGCCATGCACTCCAGACTACGGGATGGGTGACGGTGAAGGGATACTGTATTTCGCTACCTAAGATATACAAAGTTCTATCTTCTCAGTACCTAGTTTTGAGAAATTTGACATCGTAAAAGTTGATTTTCACAACACATCAAGCTTTTTAGAATGCAATTCTTTGATTAACTTGATTACGACTCCAATTGGTCGCTTTTAAGCACAAGGGGGCTATCCCGAAAAACGCAGTTTTGAGAAAATCGAAGGTAAAGGTTTTGAACCCGTGTTCAGTTTCTTTAAAAGACAAGGAGAGTTTTCTCTATAACCAATCAAATATACACACCAATGAAACCAAACTTGGAGAAGTTAGGGCAATGCTCACTTTTGGTGTAGGTCAAGATTTCTTGAAACCCCCGAAATTTGGGATAGCCCGCTTGTCCTTAAAAGCGACCAATAAATCTTAGAATTTTGATAGAGCAGATTGGTTTCTGACCACCTGGTCTTAGTGACTCAAAACAGCAAATAATATCAGATAGAACTTTGTAACGCTGAGGTAGCGCAATGACGCAACAGCACACGTCAGTCAGTCCGCCAGCAGACACACCCACTACTCACCGTACACTTGTTTGGTTTCTCGCCCGAATGGACCCTCATGTGGATGAGCAGTTTGTAGCGCGCGTTGAAGGGTCGGAACTGACGGGGGCAGCCCTGCCAGAAACAAGAGAATTCTTCGCCTTTCTTCTGGTCGATGTGCACCTTCTCCAGGTGCCTGACCAGCTCGTCTTGCTCCTTGAACATCATGTTGCAGTCGATCCAGCGGCAGATGTTCGGGTCTTCGTCTTCGAACTCTTCCACCTTGGCGCTGCCAGAGGTCGTGCCGACGGGCTGAGAGGAGGAGTCGGACATGTAGGCGGGGCTCATGTTTGCTGACGTCACGCCGCCGCCGCCAGGCGCCGCGGGGCTCATTCCCATCATGCCTTGCATCCCGTTGCCGCTTCCGGGACTCAAACCCTGGATCCCCGGGCTCATCACCTGCATGGCTGACGGGCTCATCACTTGTAGGTTGGAGCTCAGACCATGCATGTGTGGGGGTATGCCCGGCGCACCGCCGGTCTGCTGCTGCTGCTGTTGTTGCTGCTGTTGCTGTTGTTGTTGCTGTTGCTGTTGTTGTTCAGACTGAGGATGCTGCTGTGCGTGGAGGAGTGGGTGGTGCTGAATCTGCTGTGAGTGAGGGTGAGAGTGTTGATGGTGACTGGGACGGTGCTGGTGAAGTAAAACTCCACCCTGAGACGTTTGATGGTGATGGTGGTGACTGGGTGGCTGGAGATGGTGACTTTGTGCCTGCTGATGCGGATGATGATGTTGGTGATGCTGCTGCTGTTGCTGTTCTAGAGCTTCGTTGTAGGACGGAGGAGGCGGTATACCATTGACAGGCATGACAGAGTTCATGGCAGTCTGCATGTTATTCATCCCGTGCGGCATGATGCCACCCATCCCATTACCCGCCATCATACAATTCTGCTGCATAGTCCCAACCGTCAGGTTTCCACCTATACCCTCAGAAGCTACAGAGTTGTAATCTTGATCTGTGTCCATATGTCCCATCTGACCCCCACCGTTCACATTCACACCGTTGGGGAACAGCCCCACAGAGCAATTGTACTCAATCAAAGGCACGTCGCTCTGACGAGCCACGAATGAATTGCTCATCATATCCTCCAGCCCATTGCTCTCCAGGGGAACCATGTTGAAGAAGTCCATATTGTTCTCGCTCTTCACGCCCGACATCATGCTGAACGGCGTGAAATTGCCGCCGAGTCGCCGCTGTCCCGAGCCTGTCTGAGAGTAGGGGCTACTGTTGCGGGCGGACAAGTGCGAGAAGGAGCCTTGCTGGCCCGGCTGGGGCGAGCCGCTAGTGGAGGAGTTCCTGGTGGAGGGCAGGTAGGGACCCAGCGAGGTGGGCGACAGCCGGATGATGTGATTCAGATCAATCCCGTCCGAGAGCGACGGTGAGATGGACAACGCCCGCTTCTGCGACATCCGCGCGTTGATGTTGGCGGAATGCCTGGGGCTGGTGAAGCGGGAAGGGAAAGGAGACATCTCGGTGCCTTGGTAGGGCGAAAGGTTGGAGCCTGTGTTGTAGTGTGAGGTGGCGCTGCCCGGGACGGCGATGCTCTGCGAGTCGTTGTCGCTGCCGTCCATGGTGGACGAGGTCACGGAGGGCAGCAGCTTGAAGTGCGGCCAGTCTTGCGACTTGGGGAGAGCGGGCTCCAAAAACACATGATGCTGTTGTTGCTGCTGTGGCTGCTGAATGTGCATCTTCCCCCCTGAAGACACGTCCGAGCTCTGCTCCAGACGCGGTGTGCCAAGCATACTTCTGGGCGTGTGGAGGGAGCTCCGGGGCGTGTGCACGGAGGCTCTGGAGGTCGCGCCAAGCGCTGAGGCACGTTCTTGGTTCGAGATGACGGACAACGCCGGCGTGTGCATGCCGCTGCGTGGTGACGCCGCAGAACGCGCCGTGATATTGGAGATCTCACTGGGCGTGGGCGTGTGGGTGTACAGCGTCTGAAGAGGTATCAGCGTGACGCCTTGGTGGCCTATATCGCTTCCGAAAATGTTACCGCCACCACCGCCTGACGAGCCGTTGACATTGGGCATCCTCGGACTGACCTCCTCGCTGTTGCCATGGTAGTTGCTACTCTTCGGGCCCATTGATTTGCTGTTGCTGATGTTGCCAGAATTGTTGTTGTTGTTGTTGAGACTGTTGCTGTAGTTGTATCCGTTGACGAAGTCGTTCGAAAGGTTATTGGTATGCCGGGGTCCCAGGGGAATACACTGTGGTCCATACCCGCCGGACTGTACCTCTGTAGGGAAAGGAAATGGTTTGTTATTAATTCTAAAGTCATTGCTATTACAGACCGTCTCAAGCACACTTGCCAGAGTTAAGCATTTAGGCTCGTTCAGAGTGCTTTATTTACTTTGCTTATAGTATATCAAGGGGAAGAAACTATCCAACCATCCTTTGAGTTTGAAGGCCGAAAAAAACCACAAAAACTTCTTGCAATAGAAGTGGAACGAGGCTAAAAGCCTGTACTGAAACCCCAGTCCATAAATGTATGTTTAACCCCAAGGGGACATTTCACAAATCTCTTGTAAGCCAATAAAATAAACCCTGTTGATGTGAGAATCCAGAACTACCAGAAGGACATCGAGTTTTCTCAAGACAACATTGAAGATCATAGCTCTCTATAGGATAATAATAAATATATCGACACGATAATGCCCATTTATAACTCATAAACAATAAAATAAGCACATAGAAACAACAGGGTGAAAAGAAAGTAGAGAAATCTCGCTCTCCAACTACCAACCCCGAACATTGCAACTTCTCAAATATAACCCCATGATGTCTAAGTAAACTAATCATAATACCTATTTTAGAAAATTGTTTGTTTGTTTGTTTGTTTGTTTATTTGTTTGTTTGGGAAAAGAGGAACACGTCAACACAATAATTTCTCAGTCTGGTCAAAGTAAGCTGTTCTGTTTAGATAGACAAGCAAATCGACAAAATAACGGCCATTTAGCGCCGGGTAAAAATAAGACAAACATGGAGACTGAAACCACAGAATGACAAATAAAGTAGTACCACACACGAACGGCGACCTCAAACCACCAAAAAGGCAACAGAAAACAGTCGTAATGAACAACAAGACCAAATACAACAATGCATGGAAAAAAACGAGATTTCACCCAGCCAATCAACATGCCTCTTTGGAAGGGACGACGTCACTTGCAAAAGACGGAGAATGTTTGTTGACTCGTTTGTTTGTTTGTTTGTTTGTTTGTTTGTTTGTTTGTTTGTTTGTTTGTTTGTTTGTTTGAGTAAAGAGAAGTACATCGACGCAATAATGGTCACTTACTGCTGGGAAAAAGAAAGACAGATAGACAGAAACAACGGAGAGAAAAGTAAAGAAGCAGGACCAACCAGAGGCGTCCTCCAACCACCCCCGACAGAAAATGGGAAAGATGTGTGTTCCTCGCAAACAGCTACACCGTGGAGGGTTCCTTTGTTGGTGAGCTGTGACAAAATAGTTTGCTGGGGGGGGGGGGGGGGGGTGTTAGGAACATTGTAATGGAGCGGTTCTACTGTCGAATTACGAGTATTTTCGATGTGGGGACATGGAATCTTTTTGACGTATATAGTCACCGAATATTACTCGCATTCATTTATTTTAAGTAATACTTACACATAAATGAGTAAAAAATCAAACACAAAAAGATATTTATTGCATACCCTATGTGCTTTAAACTAAAACGTTTCTTTCAAACTTAGAGGCAGACTTGTATGCCTACAGGTTTTTATAACCAATAGCTACTTCTTGTCTTTAAATACCGATGATAACAGCCAAAGCCATAGAACTAATTCCCGCTATATTACTTGCATTACCAAACAGTGTCGATAGTTCCGTAAAACAAATAAACAAACACGCAAATTAACGTGTCGGTCACACAGTTCATTTTCCCTTCAGATCTGAATTAAACGGTTTGAATAAGGAAACAGTATCTAGCAAGCAGAACATTACTTATGTGAATCTCAGAGGCTACTTTTACCACTTTGAAGTTATACTATAGTGCGGTCTAACATTCGTGGCGTAACTTATGGTCAAATATTTCCTCAATACGTGTATTTCAAAAAGTTTATAGCTGGGGCTAAAAAGAGCCATTGGTGAGCTGTGACGTATGCAAAATGTGCGCAAGAAGCGGGAAGTGCTGTGAACAATCCCAATTTTCGCGTGATGGAGATTTATAGTATTTTATATAAATCTATGATGAAAAGGTTTTGTTGGGGTTTTTTAAAATCTCGCCACACTTGTTGTGGGAAAATGTGACTAAGCTAGGACAAATTGGTTTAAACTGCTGTGCAAAGTATGGGCGACATTGATTCACTCGTTAAAGAGATATAATTTAAGGATAAGTTGCGCCAGGAACTTTGACGGCACTATAAAATCGAGTTTCGTTTAATAGGAAAAATAATATTTTATTTTGTCACTGTCACTCCCTGGAAAGGGGGTTAACGGAAGAAATATCATCGCAAGAAAACGGAAATAAGACGACAAAATAAAATTTTCAGGGAGATTTCCTTCAGCTCACATCATGGGGGGAATGTCATGTGACATTTACTGGAATCATTCTAAATCTGGTAACAAAAAAAGCGAAGAAATTAATCGAAACACCAAAAGGAAGCCGAGTGACGTCATGACTGATAAGGTGGCCCCTATCGCTAAATGAATGTGGGAGCGGCGAGAAGGCCCCAACCCTCAAATACGATCCTTCATAGAAAGCCTCGGTGTCTAAATAAATCGCTACCTTAGAACTACAGTTTTATCTGCTTTGTACCTAGTTTTGAGAAATTTGTCGTAGGAAAATTTGAGTTTCACAACATGTCAAGCTTTGCATAATGCAATTCATTGAATATCTTGATAATGAATCCAAATAATCTTACGAGTTTGATAGAGCAAATCGAACATTTATTGGTTTCTGACCTCGTGGTCAGCAGTAACTAAAAACGGCCATATCGAATAGATTCTAAGGCAGCGAAATCACAAAAGTGCCCTATCAGATTCAAACTCGCACCAAAAAATATACATGCTGTATAATAAGGAGGAGGGTTAATGGAAGTAGTTCGGATTCCTCTTACTTTAAAAAAAAAAAAAAAAAGATTTCAATAATTCAGTCAAGGATAGTACACAACAGCAGATAGGGTGAGAGACATTGAGAGATATAGGGGTGAGAGGAGGGGTGACAGACAGACAGACAGACAGACAGACAGACAGACAGACAGACAGACAGACAGAC